AAGCAGCCTACAAAGACGATCAGTGATTGGTCATCGATCATGAATATGATTGGTCAGTTCAAAATTATAGCTGTGATTGATCCATTTGAAATTCAGAGCTGTAATTGGTCGGTTCAAAATTTTGAAATATCTTCAAATATCTAGAAATACGCGAGTCAAAATTTTAGCTCTATCCTCAAATATCTGTATATCCTAAATTCAATATATCTGTTTAATACACACGAAAACTAAAGTCCTACCTAGAGCCTCTAAGGACCGATTTTTCAATGATAGTTTAAACTTAGATTTCAACTTAAATTCTGTTAAAACAAAACAAATGCATTGTTAGAATAAAGTCTAAACTTGAATCCAAGTTTAAACTGCTATTGAAAAACCGGCCTTAAATAGCAAGAAACGTAGAAAATGCCACTTGTACACTACAAATCCAAATGTGTTACTTGACTGAATAATCTGAAAAGAAATATTTGGCTAAATCTCTTTTTAAACGTTTCTTACAATAAGTCACGTCATTTGACACGTTTGAACACAATAAATTATAATTTACACATCTTAGGGCCGATTTTTCAATGATAGTTACTCAGATTTCAACTTAAACTCTGTTTAAACAAAACAAACGTATTGTTAGAATAAAGTTTAAACTTGAATCCAAATTTAAGCTGCTATTGAAAAATCGCCCCTTAAATGTGTATTAAATGACGTGATTGAAAACGATAACAAACATGTAAAAAGAATATTAGTCAAATTACATGCTTATGCGTTTAAAAATAACATACTTGGATTTGCAGTGTAGATTCTAATGAGAATCGTTCGGCAAGGCTAGCAGGTTAAATAGAATCAAAAAATGTTGATATAAACTACAGAATATCAAAATAGGTATTAAATGGAATAATGAGGTCGAGACAGTAGGATCAAAATTTCGACTCGAAGTACATTAAGCTCTCTTAATTCTATTTAACCTACTTTACCAAGAAGCCCTCTTCAGAACCTACAAGTAGTATCGTGTGCGTTTCCTGCCATTTAAAGGCGTTAAGTAGGATTTCAATTTCTATGTATGTTGAAAACACATACTGAACTTTGGAAATACATAGATGTTAGAAGATTCAGGTCGAGTGTAGGATTAAAATTTTAACCCGGGATGAACGCTAATTAATGAACATGTACCGAGATGCATTGGATGCTCGCTATACGATTTCTCTATTCATTTCGTTTTCCCTTGAAGACCTGTTTCCTCCCGATGGGGTACGACATCGGAGCAATGCGATCCCGATGTCATTCTGTCCTCCTCCCTCGTCTCGCGTCCTTCCGCAAGATCCAGGCGACGGAGAGGTCCCTCGGGAGGATACTCGTATCTCTGAGTAATTTACTAAGAAAGTCTCGGCTGTAACGGCGAATGATCAAAGCGACGAAACGAGTAACTTTGTGATCGCAACCGGGACGATGGATCACACGGGACGATGGATGGGCGGTTCGCAAACATCAGAGCTTCGTTTCTTCGTCCGCTCTGATAACGAACGATACGCGTCTCTATCGCATTCTGGCGATACGCTCTTTTGTCAGTTTCATTCAGCTTAGGCCTCACGACGCACGACATAATAGGTCTTTGTGACATTCTCAGGAAGCGCGTGTACAAACAGATGGATGGACAGACGAATGGACGGACGAACGAATAGATAAGTTTGTACAAGATAAGGGCGCACGCGAAAACACTGCCGGAACAGCGATAAGATTCCCTGCGTATACAGGAGAAGCAGAATTGTCTTGGCGATTTCATCTGTTGGCCACACGACGTCGGGGCGAGAAATGAACTTTGCGCACAGCTTTGCTAGGTCGACCGACATGTACAATGTCGCGGCCGGCACACAAACGCGGCCGGCTATCTGGCCGCTCCATCTTTTATTTAGTCATTACGCTCATCTTTTTCTCTTCTCTTTCCTTTGCGAGTGACGACCGGCGAGCAAACGCCAGCATCACTTTACGCAGAGCAGAGCAAAGACAAGAGAGAAAAGGAGAAAGAACGCTGCGTGTGGACGCACACGGCCACTCACCAGCGGCTACTTCAGCAAAGGCTACCCGGCTTCTCACAGACTCGCATTCACACCGCGCGTTTGTAGAGATACTCGAGTACTTGGCCGATCTATCACGCGCTATGATTCACTCCGTGAATCTACATTTCGCTTCAGCACCACGCGCGCGTTTGAAAAATGAAACACAAGAAGTTACACAGTGCTCTCTATTTATAAAGGCGCTTCGGTGCATCGAAAAAACCAGCTGAGCAAATATAACACAAATCGAATGAGGTAAAAATATCCAAATATTCTTATTGTTTTGGTCTTTAAATACAAATCTTTAAACTTTCAACATAAAATATATTGAATATATATACGTATATTCTACGTTGGAAGCTTAGATATTCGTGTTTGAATACCAAAACAATAAGAATATCCAGGATGTACTTCTACTTTACAAATCTTCCACACAAAATACGAAATACATCTTCGTTCTAAAATCGAACAATCGGATCGTCGTACGATTATTCGTTTCCTGTTATTTGACAGTTTGCGGGACACTAATTAAAAGCTACGGATGGAACTATGAAATTAATGCAGCCGAACGGAGCTAGAGTTTCTTGCGTCAACAATGAGGAGCTAAGATTCCGCATGTACAAATAATCCCTTTATATGCTTTTATGCAAGGCTTTTATGTAAGGCCTCAATGTAAATTGCGCCCTGTCCCATGATACCGGTGTAGCGCAGATTACACCTCGGCAGCCTCCTCCGGAGCACGCCGCGCCGTATGCACGTGTTCTCAATGGCCGTCGAGTCAGGGGAAATAAATTAACGAGGTGTTTGTCCGCCATCGCGCCAGCCGCGCGAGAGCGCTCCTTTTTTCTCTGTCCGTGCCCTTCCTCCCTCCGTCCGTTCGGGATTAAAATCATCGTGGCTTTAATAATTACCGCCGGACGAATGCGTTAAATGAGGCGCGCGTCGCGACGCGCCGCCGGGGCTTTTTGCCTGGCATTATTTACAGCCCGGGTCCACAATGGCACGGATGGGGGACGGAGGGGGACGTGAAACCAGTTACTCGTTGCCGCTGACATTGTGTGCTGTGTCGAGAATAGATAAATGCGAAATTTTCAAACGGCACGCAGTACACATACAGACACATACAGATACACATGCATACATGCACACGGCTGTGGCAGGGTCGCGGGAAAACGTGAAAGGTCGTTATGGCGCGTACTTCGGGAAAAAAAGGTTTGTCGTGCCGGCGAGAAGAAACAGTAATGACGAAATTAAGAGAAATGTGTTCGCGATGGGAACACAATAAGCGGCTGGAAGCGACTTACAATAAACGCAAACGAGACATGAGCGAAACACATTGAATACGGATTATATCCGCAAATTATATTCGTACGGAATAGCGTTATGTCGACGATAATTCCGAAAGAACGTCGGGCGTCAGACGCGAATACAATAATGAGAGATCCGGACGACGTTGTTACGGCATGTAATTAAGAAAATTAACAATCGGACGAGACGAGAATCTGACCGGAGAGTCACCAAGCTCAAAAGTATAATAGTGCAAGATACAATTATGAAAATTAAGGCTTTTGGCTTCTCTCGCTGCGGAACTCTTGATTGATCTTGATTGATCAGAAGTGAGAAAAGGCATACCCAAAATTTTTGCAAAGCATGTCGACATAAAAAGAGGTATCTAAAATATAACATTCTTGCAATCGATTAAACACACTTCTAAAATATTCCCAACATTTTCTTCTTGCTGTAACAATCGAAAATTAATTGTGAAATTAACGTGACATGGAACCTTTCTTTTTAATCCGCATTTCTCATTATTCTTTACGTTAATTTTACGATTATTTATAGATGGTTAGAGTAAAGAGAAAGTAGCATTTTTTAAATATATCTCTTCGAAATATTTTATAAGAATTTTGAGCATGCATTTCCTCGTTTCTGACGTCATAAATCAAGACGAATAGCCAAAAGCCTTAATGACAAAATTATATAATAAGATGACTAATTAAAAGGACAGTATTACGGCAATAATTAAGGGAAAATGTGAAGAGGAACTCGGGATACGCGGTTCGCGAGCATCGTCGATTGCCCTTCTCTTAATAAACGCGTTACTCGCCGATAAGAGAGCGGCTCGTTAATTTTTCAGTTCGCAGTCACGATTAATGGGCCCATTCAGAATTTCCATTTATCAAGCGGCACTCGGAGTGGCCCGGCGCGGCGCGATATCGTTGATACCATCTTTTGTGCGAGGCCACGTCGGAACGAACGAAGAGATCCTCGCGGCGCGCAAAAAGGGGCAGAGAGAGCGGCGGGCGGGTGGGCGACCTGCGTGCCCTCCTTCCTCCTCTTCCTCCTCCTTCACCTCAACCTCCTGCTGCCGCTTCGGGGGCGAAAAGACGACTGAAAAGTGGTCCGCCGTTGCGAAAGCCGTTAACCCCCGACGCCAACATCCCAGTCATCCATCCCGTTATTGTATTTAGTTGCCCGACGACGATGGGATATGGGGACGGGCCGCGATGGCGCTCAGCGCCTCTAATGCACATCCTGGAATATGATATCCGGCCGCTTCCACCAACTGTATCGGTCTACAGTTACAAAGTAGACGTCGCCGCTACCCTTCCGAGCCATTTTCCACCCTCGTTTCACCGCCGTCCTCTCTCGCGTCCTGTCAAATTTCCCCCTCTTCTCACCGCACGCGCGCGCCGCTCGCATTCTTCTCGCCTCCGCGTGCTGCAAAAGTTGTCGCTTGTTTGTTTCTTTTTTTCATTTTTGCTTCCTCCCTCTCTCTCTCTCTCTCTCTCTCTCTCTCTCTCTCTCTTTCTCTCTCTCTCTCTTTTTACAAGCTCTGTTTCCATTCGGGTCGCAGATTTACGCGCATCGAAGCGTATGAATAAAGATTAACATGCGGGAAACTTGTTTTTTTTTTTCATTCCATTCAAATGGGATCCGACGTAACAGTCTGCCGTATTCATTGAGTTTTTTTTTATTTAACGTTTATAGTTCCAGCGTATGTACAATGCATAGAGAGGTAATCGTGAAAACTGATAACACTGCGCGATGTGCATAAATTAAAACACAATTGACTCAACAACAATACTGTGTACAATGTCGGCTACTAGCCCCCAACAATCGGCGTCACTTGAGCGACAACTGTTATTAGATATGTGCAATTACCTGTTAAAGCCATCGTACTTTATATACTCGTGTATCCCGTACTGTCTCCTCACCTTGACAAGAACGCATTGTCAATCGACAGCCGAACGACAGCCATCTCCATCGTATAAACGCATACACAGCACGCGCACTTGACTCGAGTCCCGAAAACGTGAATGCCGTATTGTTCTATTTTGGTCATGATACATTAACGGACAGAAAACGCAATGTTCCGCCGTTTTGCTCGCTCTCACCGCACCATAAATTAACGGACGACAAGGTGTGACTGCGTCACCTATGAAGAATAGCGAAAACGCCGGTGACAGGATGATTCATCGCGATCCAGACGCGACGTGGCGACTTCCACGGATCTGCTTTATAGATTCATCGCGCTCTCGAACAGCTCCAGCATCCTCTTCATCTCTTTGCTAAAAATCAAGCAATTTTGATGCACGTTATACATATGTCGCGTATCTGGCGAAGCGCGCATATACATGGGACGGTCTGCTGGTTCGTTTGACCTACTCTGATATTCACGGTAACCACGGTAACGAAATTAGCTAAAACAGATTATTTTCTTTTCCTAGTCCGGAGCAGCAGCTTGCTTTTCGTCGCGCTCAACGCGAGTTAAGGATCTCGAGACAGGAGCTTGGTGAACAAGATCTCCTCGTTGAGCTTGTCATTAATTCTCATAACGAAGAGCGAATCGAGAAGGACGCGCGGAGAACGCGGGAAGCGTTCTTTTTTCTCTCTTTCCTTCCCTCTTTCGCTGGAGACACCGACAGAGGAGTTTAAAATTTGATGCACTGTTCCGCTGCACGAAGAACGGCTAATAGTTTGCTGAAGCATGTGCAAGGAACTTTTAATAAATATGCGCGTCCTCTCGCCTTTCCTGGAGAGAAGTTCTTTCTTTTTCTCTCGCTTCTCTCTTCTGGTAAAAAGACTTTTCCTTTTCGTTCTCGCGCCGACGCGCTGTTAGCACTTGATTAAAGTAAAATTTTTCTTCTTGCACTAAGATCGTAATATACAGTTAGGTACTCTTGATTGACTTTACAAACAAGGATCAGGCGAGGAATTTAATAAAAATGCTAATAATAATTTATTACGACCCAAGTTCCTCTTACTGAGACTCTTATGCCGATTTCATTAAAGACAAGTGTTGTGATACTTACATTTGCTCAGCTAACTTGTAAATTGATCCCATCGACTTGGACAACTCCTCGCATTTGGCCATCAACTGGTACATCGACTTAATATTGTGATCCACAGCATCACATGTCTTGCACACTGCATCTCTGTAAGTCTCCAAGCAACCAACTGTGAGAGCTGATGCCTAAGAGCAAATAATAGCAAATGATTCTCAATTGGTATAATCACATGATAATCGTGTAATATGCAGTCAAACTCTAAATTAGTGCCTCACATTTTGTAAAATTGCACCCAAGTTCTCAGTCAATGTATCCACCGAAGTTGCTACCTTTCTGGCTTCCATTTCCAGTTCATTCAAAACATTGTGATCAAGAGGTGGTAACTGAGGAGTCAAGGCTTGCCTGTACAAACATGGAGTTGAGCTTCGGGATCCCGGAAATGATGGAGTATCACCTTTTTTAGTCACAGGACTAGACAGTTTAATCTTGTTCTCCAGATCTTCTGTCACAAACAACACCATATCTCCATCCTGCATCACTCTGCCCTCCAACTGTAAATAACCAATGGCTTTGTGATAACTCGGTGGGTCTAAATCATCATCCTCTATTGGGCTGCCACCTCTACTTCTCAAATTTAGCTGGTCTGGCCTGTGACCAGCTCCTCCTATCTTATCTAGGTTATCATCCAGGTACTTTCCACTGTCAATATCAGGCGAGTCGATAAGTGACCTTAACTCTGAGATAGGTGGGGAGGATTGCGAGTCAAACGATATTTCAGAATAAGACGCTGTCATCTCGTGGAGCTGAAAGAACAAAATTATTATTGTACAACATTTTAATACACATGCAATGAAACATGCAAGAAGTTTAAGTGCAAAAATAAATTAAATGCAAATAGTGTTGAGCATCCACAAACAAATACTAGTATCTATTATATCAGTAATATGGATATAAAGATATCCGAGTTACTATTTTGTACATACTTAAGATAAAGTAAAAATATTAAATGTAATTAGTGAAATATTATATACAGAGTGACAGTTCTCTGAAACATGCATATATATTCGTGGATGTCCAACACTGGACACAACCTATTAATTCTAACCTTACTCTGTCTTCGTCGTAGTCGATAACAGTATTTTTGTCACTTCGAATATTCATTCCCGACTTCGAGGCTGCTTCAATCTCATCGGGTTCCATCTTTTTTATGTTATGAATCGTCTCTGTAAAACAGGCAGAAAGAATATCCGACGAATGTAACGTTACTCCAGATCACTGTAGTAAACTGAATTCGACTTAACCTAAAACCATCCACAAATAGATAATACACTCGAGCATTACCGAATGTGGTAATAGACGTACCGACAGTCAATGCTTCTAAACAATGAGTTTACATTGAAAAATATTCAATGTTCGAGCATTTTGTTTTGCTCTATCGCTAACACTTTTATTATTATTTAACACAGTTGCTTCATAAACCAATCTTTTAGAAATATTTTCACATTTTAACAGTATATTAATCAAAACACGGTCGATATGTATGCGCAATTAGAAAAAGATTGTCAATACTAAAGCTGAGATAATTGAAGTCAAAGTTAACATTATATACATGTATTATAGGTACGAAAACGGTTTCTGATATTATGCTTGCAACTACTTTTACGATTTGAATAAAAACAAGAAAACGATAAGAGAGACTTATGGAAATATAAGAAAAATTACAAAAATTGAGTTCGGTATTGTGAATTTGAGATGTCGATTTGCTCTTTTACCTTGAGAGTTGTTCAGCATTTCACATCTCTCTGCTCCATGACATTATATCTGCGTTGTTTACATTTTTAGAGCAAATCGATCTGCTTCTAATTCAAAGCTGCTAGATTATGGGTGCGATCCATTCGATGTTGCACACGCTTTAAAACGCTTAAAGAAAAGCTATGATTGGTGTATGTGATGCTTGAAAGCATTTGTAACGCTTAATGGATCGCACGTTCATTTGCCCGCGAAAATTTAAATTGTCTATCTCCACATATTTACATATGGCTACATTCAGAAACGCTCATTATCATAGATACGTTCTTCTCCATTGAACTAATATTCACTTTTAGAACATCAAAAAAAGAATATCTATGATTTCATGTAATTTACGATATTTACAAGTAATCGTACAATATAATAAATATAGTTATAAGTTCTTACGAATTTTAGGAAAAAAAGTTACGAGACACTTACGAATCTGTTTACAATTACAGCATAAATTATTAAAAAAAATAATAATAACCTGATTATTTGCTATTTAGTCTTGTTAAATGCAAGCAATTTATCTTTGTCCTATAATTCAATCTTATAGTCTTAATTATTAATAATATTTTATATTCACATCCACAAAAAGATAATATTCTTTCTATTAGCCTTTATCTCTAATCCAATTAAAATCTACAATTTTCTTTAAAAAATTAAAGCTATCAGTATGACAGCTCAGAATCGTTTTATCTAAATTTATCTTTATGCTTGTTTGCTCAACAGTCAAGTGATCAAACTCACCATCTGCTAGCTCATAGATTTATAATACTGAAGATCGTTGATTATTTAGTTTTTAAGAAATTGATATGTTAAATGCATAATTTATAATAACGGTTAAAATACATGATAACTATAATATGCCTAACACGGATAATTCCAATCCATGCAGACAGACAGACTTTTCGAGGAACGTCTTGAGAACGTCCACAAGACGTTCCTTAGAGATATGTGCTGTCGAGATATTAATACGTCAAAATGTGCAAACAAGGATTATTTCTTTTAAACATTATGATGTTTGATTGATATTCCCACAAATGTTCACTAGATATCTTAAGAACGTTCTAAAAATACTTGAATATTCTTAGAATGTTGTTAAGATATCTATTGAATATTTGTGTTGTATGGGTTATTTTGTTATAGAGTCAAAGTCTGTGTATATCATAAATCATATTTATAAACATTTAGTAAAGATTTGTAGATCTTCGTGTGTTATGTTAATCATTACCTAACATAACTTTTTAATAATATTGTCATAAAACAATTAAGATGCTGAGTTTTAATCATAAGTAATGTGTTGACGGACTGTAAATTGAAATTTTGCAGGTACTGACATTTTCTACGATCGTTCAATGTATAGTACAGAAAGTACGATCAGCTGTTACATCAACTACCGCTTCACTTTGGGAGAAAATAGTGATTGTTACTGTTATTTTGGCAAAAACTAATGTTATAACGCACATTTTTTTATCAGTGCAAAAAGTTCAACGAAACAAGCTTTTTATTTTCTTGATGACACTTGCCTCCGAAATCAAAACAATTATCAGTCCAATATAGGTTAATCTAGTCATAGATTGACATGTTCCGATGAGATCTAAATTCTTGTAGTATTTATTAGAGTTGTCTTTTATTATTTACATTAAGTCAGTAATATGACTTCGAAATCCGAAATCACGTTAGAACATTTTTATATTTTTAACGGCACGTATGCGAAAAAAGAAGGAGAGGTAAGTGCATAGTCAGGTGTTGTGTTGCTAAGAGTGTTCTTTTTTTCCGATTTTAATATATAATTACGCAATGTGAAATTTTCAGGAACAAAATAAAATATTGTATTATTATCCGGAAAAGGATGTGGAAGTTCAAATCAAGAATATAGGACTCAGTGAAGCAATAATCAAATTTACAGAGTATGTATTGTAGAGATGCCTCTTCTTAACTCTATACAAATGATTAATGAGTCGACACAATTTTCATATTGTATTGCAGATCTTTTAATCCCGGACAACCATGTGATTATTGCCATACACACAAAACACGTCAAATATATTATCAACCAGAACCTAACTTTTGGATGGTAATGGTGAGTATGATCAAAGAGTAAAATAATGCAAATCATTGTTTCCCTCAATTTAATATGTACTATACCAACATTTCACAGATTGTCGGTATCCCCTATATTTACAAAGAGCGAGATGGTAATAAGTATCAAAATGATGAGGTGTCCAGTAGCGTATGTCAAGCTATATTAAAACAAACCTACATGATGTTCAGGTTATTCATGGGTTCCTTTGAAACCATTATTAATGATCCTGATTGTGGGTCTGTGATATTGCTGAAACATAAACTGGAACATTTTTATTCGCGAGTGAGAAAATATTCTACAATTATAAACTAAGTACGGTTCTACACACAAAACTGATTATATATTCTTACTGTGTTTCTTATTTGTTTTAGTACCTGCATTCATTAAAGTTAAGTAATAGCGATATTTTAGATGTTTTTCAAGGATTACAATTTTTACCTCTGGATAAGATTACATTTCTTAGAGTACAATGTTTTATGAATCTTGTAGAAGCTATGTTTACACAAGTGAAATATACAGCTTTTCTTTATAACGATCAAGTTGTTTGGTAAGTGCACCTTTGTCAACTTTTATCTCCTTTTATATACACGAATTTTTTACATATTATTGGTGTACTTAGGAGTGGATTAGAACCTGAAGATATGCAAGTGGTATATAATTACTTAGTAAACACTATCTTACCGGCTCACTTGGAGAAAGAATTGCATGGAGGTTCGATGCCCAGGAATTCTCCTTCGCCGTTTACAACTTCGCATTATGGAAAGTAAGAGAAAAGAAAATATGTTTTAAATGTTTTTAATTCGACCATTATCGATACAACGATACAACCAACACGAATATTGCTCGTTGATAAAAACGTATATTTTCGTTTACAGATTTGTTACCGGACCTGCGAGTGTTAATGAGCCGAGTCTAATTGGAAAATCACCCAAAGTTTTTATCAATTATTCCACCAAACCTGTATCATTATATTTAGTGGTATATCGGGCATTGAGCGCTACTATATGTCTCTTTGTTGATAGTAAGTAAGGCTCTTGGTATAACTAGTTTTGTTTATCTTCATCAACAAGAGGATCGTACCGATATATACGTTTTCTCATTTTGTAGGGAAAACTAGTTTGTTGATAGACTTTTTTAAAAGCTTAGACAGCTTTTTGGGCCCGCAATTAACTACATTAGTCAGTTCAGTAGCTGAACAATGTACTAAACATGTAATAGTGACGCCGGAATCTTCTAGCACAAAGTACCTGTATTTTAACAAGCTAAATTTAGCATATAAAAGTACAATACATCTGGACAACAGACGTTGCTCTAACGTACTTACGACACCAGAAGTGCTGAGAATTATCACGGACATATACAATGACACAAATAGGTATGTACATCTTTGGAATTTATATAATTGTGCGAATTTCAAATATATCTTCGCATTTTGATAAACATCGTGCATTAATTGACTTTTTAATTTCCAGATTGAATGAGGCTGGTGAAATAATTATAAAGACTATGAGTGATTACTGGATTATCGCAAAATTGTCCAATCTGAGAGAATTCTTTGTTGTTATACAACAAAAAAGTGCAAGTATCATAGAGATTGATGGTACGTACAGTATATTTTGCAATAATGTGATTAAACCGAGATATTTATATTAATAATTTCGATATGTATTGTAGACGAAGTGAAGAGGCTCTGTGAGAAACAATTGAAAAGCATCTTTTTCCATTGACAAGTGTATTGATAAAAGATGAGATATCGAACGTCATTTCGTCGTTTTCATGATTATTTTTTTTTTTAGGACCATCGCATATGTAATAACATAGATGCATATGTATAATATAAAATCAAATGGATCAATGAATATTAAGTCGTCATATTAATGCTCAATGCTTAATATTCGATGCTTATTGGTATTTGTCTTATTGGTTACAATCTTATGCATATGTAGTTATGTTATTTCATGTGCGATAGGGCGGACCATTGTACACAAAATGCATATGCATAGCTGCATATATAACATAAGACTATTTCGACCAATTCTTTGCAAATCAACTGGCTACTTAGATATTCACTGGTCGAGACGACTTATGCTATGCATATACAGCTTATGTTATGTATATGTATTTTGTGTGTATTGAGCCATAGTCTTTACGATTGAACAAGTTTTTGTTCCATCCCGCCGATTATTAACAAGCAATATACATTCTGTGAAATAAATAATTATACTTGAGTAAATCCTAATTGCACTAATCAGATATGAGCTAATATTGGATTAGTTAAATTTAATTTAATTCAATTAAACTCTGACTTAATTCACGATTATTACGTATACAATTGGAACAACTTCTTACAACTACAGGAAGTTGTACAATTTATACGTATTATGTGATATAAAATATGAAAAGTGCTTCGAACACATTTTAAAAATATTATTTACTATAATGGAAACTTAAGCATACCTTGCTGCTTAAGATCTCTGTGACATACTTCTTGTCCACAACCTTGCTTTAATTCTTAAGCCATAAGAAATTGACCAACCAGAGTTCATTATTTTTAAAATAATCGACTGTGGTTGATCAATTTATTACAGCTTAAAGATTAAAGCAAGGTTGTGGACAAGAGGATAGTATTGTATGGGTGACTTATAAATAATTATTTTACGCAAGAGTTACCCTAGGAGATAACAATATCATGTCATTTTATTATAAATATAAATGATATATACATTATATGTAAATCATATAGCTATTGTAAAAATCTATTAAAAATTTTAATCAGACATTTCTTCATTTAATTTTTTTTGATTAGGGATAATGTTGGAAAACTTTTTTAGTTTTGCCACGAAAAAACCATCCATATTATGTACATGTGGATAAAAACGTTTAGTCAACTTCAACGAAGGGTGAAATCGGTGTTGCCGGTAACTCGTGAAACCATCGGTCCCGAATTTCAGGTCGATAGGCAGCAGCTTAACGTCACGTTTCTTAAGCGCATAATCGATAATCCACTCGTTCTCCTCCGGAAGAATCGAACATGTAGAATAAACGATAATGCCGCCTGTTTCTGAATGCGCGTTAACGCAATCAATCGCGGCCAACAACAATTCTCTCTGTAACGTGCAGCAACGTTGAATATCTATTTCGTCCTTATTTGTCTTGACACTAGGATCTCTCGCTACTACTCCAGTGCCAGTACACGGAGCATCCAACAGAACTCTATCAAACCCTTTCATAATCTGAAAATCGCGATTATAGTCATAAGTTCTACGAAAATGATCTTGGTCACGTTAATTGTTATTAAGTATAAAACTTAAATATTTTACCGTGGGAAATTTTCTTCCATCGTAATTGCAGATTATGGAATTAACGATACCAAGTCTGTGAAAATTGCCAACAACGGCCTTCAATCGATCTTTGTTTACGTCGTTCGCGAACAGTACCCCGGTATTCTTCATAAGACCGGCGATATGTGAAGCTTTACCACCTGGAGCAGCGCACATATCAAGGATTCTTTCATTCTCTTTCGGGTCTAACGCCTCAACTGGCAAGAAGCTAGAAGCACCTTGTATAATGTAGTGTCCAGCCAGGTATTCAGGTGTTGCACCCATCGGTACTTGCGAGGAATATACTACCAAACCAACTTTTGTCCATTTTCCTAATGGATCGAGATTAACTCCCCTATTAATTAATGTCTGCAATAGATTCAATATTGCAATATTAGTAATTACTTGCTTTAGATGTGAACATCTGTTTAACACAAAATGAAAGAGACATACTTCTGCTAAATCGCGTCGACGTGTTTTTAGAGTGTTGGTGCGAATAGTCATAGGTCTCTGTACTTCACTTGCTTCTAAATATTCCAACAATTCGTCTAGCGGGAACATTTGTATCAATTTCAGCATCAAGAAATCGTTATAACTGTAATATGTACATAAATCTTGTTGAAGTAGTTCGGTATATTCAGAACGAGACCTATTTTCGTCACGTAATCTCTTAAAATCTGATAACACTATAATAACGTCTCGTATCCGTTGCTGAATATCTTTCAAGTTGGTGACATTAGCAAGTTCTTCCTTAGTTGGAAAAGAGAATACACTTTGCTGAGACATCATACTATCCATTTCTTCTTGTGCAAGCTTTCTGTTTGGCAAAAGAAATGAAAGAGATAAAAATAATTGCAAGACAAAAATAAATGATTATTATTACAAATAGCAGCTAAAATGTTACTTACTCTTCTTTCTGCTTTTTCTTTATCAATTTCTTATTAGCCTTTTCTATGGGAAGCAAATCGTCATCATTCTTATTATTTCCATCCTCATCTTGCTCCATGTCTTCATCAATAGATTCTTCCTCGTCACTTATTGCTATTTCACTTTCTGTATCACTATTGCTTACAAATTCTTGTTTTGTTTTTTTTAACTTCTTTTTGGAGTGTGCTATAGAAAGCAACTGATTAGCATAATCACTCATATTTTCTTCACTTTGTTCATCTACTAAAGCTTCATCACTATCATTATAGAAAGCCATGTTGTTGTCACTATCACTTTCTACATTATTAGTTACAACTTTTTGTTTTATCTTCTTTTTCTTTTTACTTTCTTTTACTTTATTTCTTATTTTGGAGACCTGATTATCAAACTGAATTTCCATATTATCATTACTATCACTTTCTAAGTTATTAGTTACAATTTTCTCTTTTGTCATCTTTTTCTTTTTACTTTCTTTTACTTTATTTCTTGGTTTGGAGATCTGGTTATCAGAACTAATCTCTATATTGTTATTTTTGCTGTGTTTATTGTCAACAGACTTAATTTTCTTTTCTTTCTTTTTTTCCGTCTTAGCCACATGTTTCAATTTTAATATTTCTTTTTCCTAAAATTAATTAGATAGAACTAGTTTATAAAAATATATATACAATATTTATATAATTTATCATATAAAAAAAAACATACACTTTTCAACTGTATCTGTTCTTCTTTTTCAGAATTAGATTTCTTTGTTAATAATTTTTTTGCATCTTCTTTCAACTTTTGATTCTTTAATAACCTCTTTTTCATTCTTTGTTTCTGCCGATGACTCAATTTATTTACTTCCTTGACTGCAATATAATAAATTCATGTTTATTACCTTGGACTTAAAATTTTGGATTAATTTTATAAAATATGATTGGTGTCTTTTCATACCTAAAACTCCTTTTGGAAAGGTTGGATCACTTTGCTTTCTCGCCTTTCTTCCAGGTCCTTTTGGAACCTGAGATCCATCAAATTTTGCTTTACGACCCATTTAATCTGCAAATTAAGTTAAATTTTTATTAATTCTATTAAAGTTTTATTTTTTTAAATATATAAATTATTTTTTTAGTTATATCTTTTATATAAAAATATCACAAATTATGACTTCCAACATATAAACCAACATAATCAACTTACGGATTCTAACCTTAACGTAATCGAAGTAATATTGTTGAGAATGTGCGATCTCACGTGTGGTAACCAGAAAATTTTAGCACGTGTAATGTCTCCTGCATACAGACGCAGTAATGCTTGCCGCGTGGCGGAAGTTCGCGCGACAGCCAATATGTTGCTTTCTGTAATAACCTTCGAGCTCTTACGGAAAAACAACATATTGATTGGCTGTCACGCGGACTTCCGCCGCGCGACAGCCAATCAATATGCTGCTTTCCGAAATGACCTTCTAGCTCTTACGGAAAAACAACATATTGATTGGCTGTCACGCGGACTTCCGCCGCGCGACAGCCAATCAATATGCTGCTTTCCGAAATGACCTTCTAGCTCTTACGGAAAAACAACATATTGATTGGCTGTCACGCGGATTTCCGCCGCACGGCAAGCATTACCGCGTCCTGTGTGCAGGAGCCATTAAGCAGTAAAACCAGAGAGAAGCCTGAGAGCGACTATGCCATATGTTTTGGGCGACATCGATTTTCACGCTGGTACGATGCGCCATCTGCATCGTTTTTCAGGTGGAACTACGTTCCCTACGCCCATTTTCAGACGATGCCGGTAAAGCAGCGATTCAGTGCGTGTCCATTCTACGCCCATTTCCTGGCGATTCGTGTCCGTGTTAAGCGCATAATTGCGCATATATATACACATTGTGTATATACACACACACACACACACACACACAGGGTGTCCGCGTAAAACGTACGAAAAGAAAAATATAAGTAGTATACATAAAAGTGAACAAAAATACACCCCCGTAGGATACATTATTTCCTATAAGATTAATTCAAAATTTTCTCTAAAGTAATGAAACATGAATTTATTATATTGCAGTCAAGGAAGTAAACAAATTGAATCATCGGCAGAAACAAAGGATGAAAAAAAGATTATTTAAATCAAAAGTTGAAAGAAGATGCAAAAAAATTATTAACAAAGAAATCTAATCCTGAAAAAGAAAGACAGATGCAGTCGAAAAATGTATGTTTCTCTTTTATACGATAAATTATATAAGTGTTGTATATATACTTTTATAAATTATTTCTATCTAATTAATTTTAGGAAAAAGATATATCAAAACTGAAACACATCTCTAAAATGGCAAAAAAGAAAGAAAAGGAGATTAACTCTGTTAATAATAAGCATAGCAAAAATGACAATATTGAGATTAGTTCTGATAACCAGGTCTCCAAACCAAGAAATAAAGTAAAAGAAAGTAAAAAGAAAAAGACGACAAAAGAGAAAATTGTAACTAATAACTTAGAAAGTGGTAGTAATGATAATATGGAAATTCAGTTTGATAATCAGGTCTCCAAAATAAGAAATAAAGTAAAAGAAAGTAAGTAGTAAAATAAAGTAGTATACTAAGTATTTATCGACAAAAATACATCCAAACGTGGCTTGTAAGCCTTCTGATCGGCTTTCTGTTATATTCAGAGGCACTTTTGTCGGTAAAAGGATAGTTTAGAATAAATGTCAACGTCACGCATTTGTCGTATTACGCGATCGTATTTGCTTTTCTCATTTCATCGAAAAAGCGTTTCGCGCGCTTTTATTATCATGGGGACATAGAAGTCCATCGTGCCACAATAACGCGAGCGAGCAAATCACAAAGCGGTCCGCGGAGTGGCACCGGGTGAAGATATGGCGCGCATTGCAATTTGAAATATCTCAATAACTGCCATACTGCTGACATTTACGGAGCGGACCGCGATCAGGTAGGGCGTGCTCGAAGCTGCTCCGTGTCAGTCGCGATTTCGATTTGTCGGCCGCGATTCCGAGTCGCACGCCGTGGATTATCGTCGTCGGGAGTGCCGCTGAAGAGTGTCGTGCGTTAGTCGTCGCGTTGTAGTGATCGACAACCGCCGAAAGCACGAATATTTCGCGAACGTCGGGACGTCAGGTCTTGTGTTCATTATTATAATCGTTCTGAGTTGAGATCGTCGCGTTTCCGACTTGTCGAGAGTAAGTCTCGCGCCGAAAGTAAGTCTCGTATATGCATGAATTTGCGTATGGGTACGTGCTATGCCATGTCGCCGGAGTTCGTATTTTCGACTCTTCGAGAACAAGTTGGTAAGTAGCCATTAAAGAGCTCCAGTAGGTAGCGCCCTCGCGACAGTCGGCGGCCGGATTCGTAACTTCTACTCGCCGAGAGATGTTACCGACATCTCTCCTATACCGACATCTCTCTCCGATACTTGAGTGGGATTTCATACGTATGTTTCGCGTTTTTCGGTCTCGATTTTTCTGATATCTCATTGACGTTTTGATGAGCGGCAAATAAATGAAAACGTTTACAAGGCCTAGTTGCATCAACTGAGTGGTGAGTCGACTAACAGTTAAAACATATTTGTCTTTCTGTTTATTTCGAAGAAGAAAGACAGAAGTATGATTGGATCTGTTAATTAACTTACCACATGGTCGGGGAAACAGCGCCTAAGATTATCGGAAGTTTAACGTCCGGATGAACATCTCGCCACGCGTGGAACAAATACTTTTATATTAATTTCTTAAGATTATCTTTAAGATGTCTTATGTCCCAATTTTAGACATTATGTTATCTGGAAACATTCGGTCTTTTCCAAAAAATGGACGCCAGCGGCGGGTGCGAGGAAAGAGCTATTCCGCATTTTTCATGATTTTAACTCGACGAACGTGAGTCTCGTGCATCTGTTTGTGTCGGCAACGCCGTAAATACATTTTGCGTGCTCACGATAGACGCGCTATAAGTTATATTGGACATATCCCTTAAAAAAAATGATTTTAAGTTGTTTAAATTAACTTAAAGTTGCTTAAAATTACTTACAGTTATTTATAGTTAACTATAAATAACTTCAAGTAACTTTAAGCAACTTTAAGTTAATTTGAACATCTTAAAGTAATTTTTCCTAAGGAACGTGTATCATTCGTGAACGGTAACGCTTGTTACGCTACCGATGAGTAGAGTCATTCGATGAGAAATCACACGATACGATTCTCCGTGAAATACCAGGTGATTTAAACATCTCAGTATCCTGGGCATGTCCGCGCGATAATGCAATAAATCAATAAAGCTAATAAAAGACACGATGTTGAGATCATCATTAATTATTTATTACGTTTGCGCGTTATTCGTGGCAAAGTATTTGAGCTTCGAGCTACGTGACTTGTGATCAAGTAACCGCGAGAGATGCCGAGGTTGGCGAACTCAAAATTTTCTGGTACAGTCGAGCAGTTCGTCCGATAATTTAAAACTTTATGCTTCAAGTTTAAATTGTCCGGATCTTACGGGCGTGAAGGTATATTCGAATAGTACGAGTCTGACTTCGCGGATGCGCTAGTAAAGAATAAAGTTAAACGATGTAGCGATGTATATAGGAGAAACTTTAAACGTTTTTCGAATCAAAGCAGTTGTAATAAAATGTGTAGGAAGACGGAATCTTTTGAGAGGAGAGGCAGAGAGGCAGAGAAGCAGGGCGTATTCTCGCAGCATCCCGTTGGCAGGCAGTTGGCAGTTGGCAGAGCGAAGCAGAGTCTACAAGTAAATTGATCAAGTATATGATTGAAATTTCTAATTCGCCTGTAACATGCCGCGGATACGGAAAAGAAAGTTAGCTGCTGCAGCAAGAATCTATGTGTGTTAAATCTTAATTAAGTTAAATCTTGTTGTAATGTATGGATAGCTAAAAGTATAATCGTCAATAGACATGTGTTTGGCTACGTAATAACAACAATGATAAAAATTGCAGTTGCAGAAGCAAGTTTTTACACGGAGAAAGAATTATACATTTTTTGCATATAATTTACTATGTTCTTAATAGTACTGGAATAAACTGTCAATACGGTCTATTTTGCTGGCAAAATAAATTTTATCAGAAATATAGACCAGATCTATTTTGCTACAAACACAATTAATATTTTAATAATGTATTTCACAGTTCTTAAAATAGAAATAACTTATGTGAAATGAAAGGACAATAAATTACTGCAGAATATGGATCTGTTTTTTATTTACGAAATTCTATAATAATTTTTATTATAAAATTCTCTCTCAGTGTGTACAAAAAAAAATATTTGAAAATTTATTTTCATGAAATAAAAATTTATTTTACAGAAAAAATCTTCATATATCACAAATAAACTATCAGATATTTTTTGTTCAGTGTAGTATAGCGACAAATATATTTTCAACAAACTATGATTAGTTGCGGCAGTAAAATTTCTTTTTCTTTTATGCGATTTGAGGCAAAATATTTCTTTTATCGCGGGGTTAGGTTTTCGCAGACAAACTGAAATACTCCAAAGTTTCAAAGCAATAGCAAAAGTAAATACAATACAATACAATTCCCGAAGTTTCCTCGCCGGGACACTTTCGATTGCGCGAAAGGACACTTTCGTCGAATCGTGCATCTCGTTTTGGGAGGGACAAAGCTGCAGTTGTAACAAGAACGTGCGAGACAGCAACGTGACTCGCAAACACCTTCCTTGACTCGTGACCTTTTATCTTTCAATCGTTAGTTCTTGTCTAAAAATAGACTCGCGAATCAGAGGCAACGTAAACTCGCCCACATTGCGCGAATCTTCGCACAGTTCGCGGTAATACTTCGAATGAGAGACCTAGAAGATCGCGATTAATAAAGTCATCGGCATAGATTTTCGCGTGGGAAAACCCAAAGATTCCAACTAGTCACTGCGGGGCGTCGCGTTTCACGACGTTTAAGTCGAGGAAAAAGTTTTGGTGGCGCGCGCGTGCGACGCGATAGAGGGAAAGTTCGACATTCATGGTGGAATTTTAAAGTTTACGCCCGCGAGAATATGAATGTTTAATGGCCGCGCCGCGTCGGCCGGAGGAAACGAGCGGCACCGGCGAGCGCGATTTGATTTTTTTCGCACGGCGCTATCTAACAGCCGCTCGGTAATGCAATTTACATAGCACGAAAAAGAAAACGCTCGTGCCCCGATGCCCCTCTCGCCGTCGTTCGCGCGACCCCGGAAGCATTTCAATTATCCGGGATCTGTTTGTATTTCGTGACCGCGCTTCGCCGCCGGAAGAAGCCATTTCACTTATCTGAATATCATCGTTCCGTCCGCAGCGAGGTGGCTGCTCCATTCCGCGTACATCCTTGCAAAAAGAAAAAAAAACGCAAAAAAATACTGT